GAGCATCATTAATATTACAGTGTAAACTCTGTTACACAAGTATTCTGGTTGACAGTATGTGTTCATATCTTTAAGCCGCACTGATTTTTTTTTTTTTTGAGGGGAGAAAAATAAACTGTTGCTATGGCATCTTTGTCCCTTTATGCTCTGGCCAAAGGCTTCCCTCCAGCAGGAACAGGAACATCACCGATCATAAGTTACGCCAGGCATTCGTAGGTGCCTCCGAGTGATTCTGTCACCCAGAATTTACAGCTGTCCTTCCTTCCATCTGCTGTCTCACCTTCAGCTCTGCCTGAGCGTTCACCCCCTCTACTGCAAGGGGACCCATGCGCGAAGTTTCGTACCTCTCTTCTGATAGCTCTGTGAGATTTTTCTGGACAAAGCCTGTAACAGTGGGATGCTGATCCTCTTTAAGGTCCTGTAATTTCTGTTTAGGTGACACATTGAACAAAAAAGCCATACAATAGTGACAAGCACACTCTCTTAGTATTGGAAGCCTGGATTTATTGACCTTAAGTTTTCCTTTGTTCTTCTAATTAATGTTTAATTCACTAATGTTAAATGGGAAAAACAGATTCCTAACTGTATCATACATAAGAAATCCCTAGTGTTTTGTTAGACCATTTCAAACAGCTATGGAAGCAAAGCATGTCGCTCGAAAGCTCCACTCAAAATAGCAGTGCTGACAAATGTTGTAAGCGTTATTCAGAAAGGATGTTGAGAGAGAGATGTGACAACACTGAAAAACAGGATTCACGCAATTTTTTTTTTTGCATTCTTATCTCAAGCTTTTCTATCACTTTCTTCCACAGGCAAAGTAATGACTTGAATCCCTTTATGGGTTCAAGATTAGCGTACGTAGTCAGAGCTTCCTGAAATTAAAGGAACTTTGTATGAATGCAGCATACTAATTAAGCAAACGGTTTGCAGAATTGGCATTTTAGATGGACATAAATAGAAGAATTGTGAAAATATATGGTTATCTATTATGTATAACAGTTATGATTATAACAATTGCTAAATTGGCAATCTGGGGCCAAATTAAAATTTTCACTTTCTTTAACATTCAA